AAGGAAAATGGGTTCGTACTGCTTTCCTTTTTTTTTTTTTTTTTTTTTTTTTTTTTTTTTTTTTTTTTTTAAGAAAGAAAGAAGAAAGGACATATTACTTGCGAAGGCATATTTATTGGTCTTGGAAATTTTGGAATCACAAAAGGTGTTTGATGGAAGTCAATCAAAAGGTTTAAAGGAAGACTGGCTTTTCTAAATTAGCCAAACTTTAGGCCAACCTCATCTAGTGGCAGTGAAAATCCATGGTGAAAAGCATGATGGATAATGAGGCTGTAACGAACTTCCCAAGTATTTTCTTCTCACCATACTTGATCGCTGAATCATTTAGTTTTTCCATTTTATTTTAATTTATATATATATATATAGGACACAGAAAGTATACGTTCATCTGGATAAAACACACATTTTGACTAGCCATAAAAAAAAAAAATAAAAAAAAATAAAAAAAAAAAGACTCACACACACATGTAGTAGTATAGATTTGCTCCCCCGTAAAGACAGTGCAGCTTAGCATTCTTTTTCCCTGCTTGCTCAATGCAATCTTAAATCCAAACTAACATCATTAACCGAGAAAAAGCACAAAATGCCCAAAGTTGCAGAAAGAATATTAGCTGCCAAGTAAACTTGTTTCATAATCAACTGATCCAGATTATGGTTGCTACTAAATTCAGTGACAGTAGTGAGCAAACCAACAGTGTTTCCCTCCTCCTCCGAATTCCTCTTTCTCTTGGTCTCTACTATGAATCCACCACAGAAGATTGGTGAGCGAGTTCCCATCATCAAATCCATTCAAGGACTTAATCTTCTGCAGAGCGGTCTCTTTGTCGTAAATCCCTTCGAGTGCATAAACAAACCCTTTCCATCCTTCTCCGACGCCCTCTCTCTGCAAAGCTGGCAATGTCCAATTCACAAGCTCCCTGGTAAAGCCAACATCAGAGAACAAGACCTCAGTGATGGGCAATAAGGGCAGCACTTGAATCCCAAGCCTACACTCTCTCCAAGCCGCCGGCGCAAACCAAAGTCCGCTATCCCGTTTGTTTGACCACAACACACCCACCACTCTATTCTCCCGCGTGAAATCTTCGTCATACAGTTTGTCTCCCTCCTTCACGTGCCACCACATTTGGGCAGCCTGAATCTCCAGCGCCGTGAGCAGTGATCCGATCGCCACAAGATGAGTGTCTCCATAGGCCAACCCCATCAAAGCCGCCGAATAGTAAGCATTCACCGCCTCACTCGAGCTCTCCTGATTCCTCCCGTCAGCGAATTCAGTAAGCCCGCCCGCCCACGAGTGCAGTTTGTACAAGTCAAAGCATCTCAGGCGCGGGTAATTTGATTTTGCCCGCCTGCTCAAGTTCATAAAATCAGCCATCATGGAATAAGCTTGAGGCTTGTACTTTCTCCCCCACGCCGGGTCAATTTTCGCAAGCACTGCAATTGCATAAAGAAAGTGGCCCAAATGGAAATGGTGATCATTGTATATTCCAAACCCGAAATCCGCACCACCATCACCTTGTCCTTGCTTTGTTATAATCCCACCCCATTTTTCCTCATACAAGAAACCATTTCCATTAAAAGTCCCATCCAACCACGGCTCAATTGCCTCCTTCAAGAACTTCCGGATCTTTGGAATCACATCAAAAAAACGAACTTCCTCAGCAATCAACGCAAACCGCGCCGCTCTCGCGATCAACTTCCCATAAAAATACGAAGCATTCGTCGTTATTGCTGCGGCATCAAGAGCCTCGACATCTTTCTGCAGCGCGGCAACAATCTCCTCATAAGCTTCTTCTTTGACACCTTCAATCGAATGCCAAGTAACCGATACAGGATCAGGCTTCAAAGTCCACGAATCGCCAACAACACCAACAAGATCACCATCAATACTCTTGTACTTAAACTCCTCCAAAACAGTGACACCACGATCATCACCTTTCAAAAGCTTAAGATGGAGAGGGTGGGCCAGCATAAGCAAATCACCCCACCCTTTCTTCTCCCATTTGTACTCCAAACAAAACGGCTTCGTAAACGAAACCTCACCAGACACAGGGTAACAAGAGCTAAACCTGTCGAGAATCGCCTCGAATTCCGGATTGGAATCAGGCAATATGGCAATCCTCAAAATCCCAGAAAACCCATTGGAAGTCAACAGTGAAAGGCTATGAGAAAAACTGATCGGCGACGACGTGTATATCAGCCACGTCTGGTTGTTGTTGAGCTTGACGGTGTACTTGGTCTGCGAATTGTTGGACGAAAACGAGAGAATCGCGTGGATGGTTGAGATCGAAATTTCGGTCTTAGCGGAGGCCGTGCAAGTGAGGAAGGGGCTTCCTCGGACGAGGAAGAACCGGAGGTTCGACGAGGGAATGTCTAGAGTGAGACTGAGATCGTTGAAGGAAGAGATCAAGTGGGGTTTCTGCGAATCTGGGGCGGTTTTTTCGGCGGCGGAGACGGTGAGATCGGCGTTGAAAATCTGGTACAAGAAGGCGGAGTTGGAGAGGCGAGATGGGTAGCAGACGGAAAGAGAGGAGTTCGAGGATTTGACGAGATAAGGGTGGATGTACTCGGGCTGGTCGCCATTTTTGAGGACGAAGTTTTGGAAGAAGGAGTTTGTGGGGAGTGGGGTTGAGAGGAGGTCTGGGGAGAAGAAGAGAGAAGGGTCAGAGACGACCGTTGATTGGGCTTTGGGGAAGAGAAATGGAGCGTTGGATCGCTTTTGGAACGATGATGATAATGACATTTTGGGAGGTTCAGGTTCAACAACTTCTTCTGGGGTTGAAGGAGATGGTACTTCTACTGGGGTTGAAGGGGATGGTGTTGAGAATTCAGGCCTCCTCCGAGGCTTTTTAAAGGTCTTGGTGACCAAAGTCTTCACCCTTCTTCTAAGCTTCTTCAGCATTATTGTACGGCTTGTCAAAAATAATAAATTTCCACTAAATTGATTTTTGCAAATTTTTTTTAAATAAAGAGAGACGTGTGACGAATTGGTTGGTCTTATACATTCAGGTAATGCGGAGGAAATGAAGGGAGTTTTTGCCCCTTTTTTTTTTTTTTTTCTTTTTTTTTTCTAGGCTCGCCAAATTGACCCAAAAATCAGTTCAGTAGGTTGGGAATGGGATAATAATGGATTAGAGGTCTTGTTGAAGCATTGGAAATGGTCAAATGGGGGTGGGGGGGCCTGGGGAAGAGGCTGGTTGGATTTGAAGGAAAGCTGGCTATGGGGAAAGGTTTCGCTTCTGCAAGGTATCCATGTTTTGGTTTTTTTTATTCTTTTAATTAAGTAGACGTTTCTCAAACTTGATGTGTTAAGAAAAGGATAACTACTAACAAGGTGAAGGTGTGGCTTGAGAGATGCTTCATAGGTAAGGAATTTTAGTTTGGGACGTAGGAGTAGTCATGCTTAAGCTATTGCGCGCGTTTAGACTGCTAAACAAATTTAACGCGGCGCTGAGTTAAGACTTCATTTCTCAGCGAATAATGGATGCCCGTCGGTACTCCAATCCAAAAGAAGCATTAAACATTCAAGCCTTTTTGTATCTTAAACTCCTATGAGTGAGATCATTTCACTTATTCTTTGCCTTGAGTAACCGTGTAACCTTGGCCCCCTTGACCAAATCCAATGCAAAGGAAGCGCAAGCGCCAATACACACATGAACACGTCTATTTTAGTTTTTTTAGAATAACAAAACGCATCAGATGAATGCCAAGATGTCAAAATTATGTGAGTTTTGTGAAAAAACAACTTTTTATTTTTTGAAAGAAAAAAAATAACTATATTGCTATAAGTCTATTGGTCAGTTCACGTTTTTAGTTAAAAAAAAAAAGTGTTTTTATTTTTTTATGATGTCATGAAATTTTGTTAATAAATGAGCATTATTATTATTATTGTTTTTCAATTGATTCAGCTTTTCCCTTGGCATAAGTGAAAATTACACTACCTAGCAAAATTAGGGTTAATTTCAATAATAACATTCTTAAATAAATTATTATAAATTTTTGTACTATTTTTTTGTCCTTTCACAACTAGTATTGTTATGTTAGTAGTGTATAGTAAAATGACTTCTATATCATTTGAGTTAAAATTATCATTTAAAAACACCTTAAAGAACTCTCACCCGCTCATTCTCTCTCTCTACACTCCATTTTGAGCTCTCTCTCTCTCTCAAAATTATCATAAGAACTTTATTGTTTTAAGTTTGTTTAGAAGTGAAAAGTGATTTGATTAAGTTTTCTTCGTTTAAGTTGATCTGTTTTTTATAGTCTTCTTATTTCTTAAGTTTATTTGTCGTTTGTGACAGATGATGTGTAACTTATGTTTGTATCTCTCTCTCCCCCCTCCTCTTTTTTCTTCGTTTTTTTTTCCCAACCTCGCCCAAAAAAATCTCCTTTTTGTTGTTTTCTAAAAGGCAACATTGTCGCTTGTTGAAGAATAACACAAGCCGTTGTTGTTGTCGTTGCTTTTTTTTTTTGATGTAATATTGCCATCTATGTTTATCGTTGTCTTATTTATTATAAAACACTTACTTGCAAAACAAGTTTTATTTGTAAAGCCATCGTCTCTTTTTGTTCTTTTGTGAAGATACCATCCATCATTATCGTTTCTATATTCTTGTCGTTTATTATAGTTTTTGCCGTATATGGTTTGGTGTCGTTTTATATGTTTTGTTGTTTTAAATGGTATCGTTTTCAGAAACATCATTCGTTCGTTGGTCTCAAAAGCTAATGTCGTTCTATAAATATTGTCGTTTCCGGAGGTTGTTGTTTTACGTTTTTTTAGCAATCTTGTCGTAGTAGAACAAGCTTTCCTGGTTTAAGCTTCTATCCTTTGTATATTTATGCCGTTTTTAAACTGCTTTCATTTCGAGAGCATCGTTCTTTTGTTGTTCTGAATTATATGTCTAATAAAAAGAAAATCTGAATTGTTGCAGTTTTACGGTTACAGTCGTTTTATAGCACTTATGTTGCTGTCAATCTGATTTGAAGTCATTTTTTTTATCCATAATCTAAATATTCGTTTTAAATCTGAAAAAGCAGATACTGATTTCAACAACATTGATTTGCAGCCATAGCTTATATTTTCCAAATATTCGTTTTATAGTACTGGTTGCGTGAGGAATTTCTACTTAAAGAGAAAAATTAACTATTTTATCTTTAATAATCGATTATTCTAAAATACTTTTGTGGTTGTTAGAAGGAGAGTACTGGTTGCGTGAAGAATTTATGTACGTGCTCTGTAAAGGCTCGTGGGAAAGAGAATAGCGTGGGGTTAAAGTTCTGATCATGCCATTCTCTTGGAAAGCTCACTCAAAAGTGTTTTGCCTTGTTCACTTTGTTGATTCGAATTTAAAATTTGAGTTAAAACGTAATTTTATGTGAAAATTTTTTACTATAATAAAAAAGTTAGATATGATTATTTGTGAGAACTTTTTACTATAAAAAAATTTAAATTTTAAACTCAAATCAGTGAAGTGAACATGATTTATATTCTTTAAAAGATATATTAACACGTAGTTAATTTTAACTTTGTTCTATAGTTAAAACATCTCATTAAAAAATTAAATTTAACTTTTCTATTATAATAAAAAACTTTTATATAAAATTAAATTTCAATTTAAATTTTTAACTGAACTAGACTAGATGTAATTTATTGCTCATAACAACATGAGTTGACATCTTATAATTATAATAAAAGATTTCCATTATGGGTGGAGTGGGCCTTAAAAAAATCTTTTTGGCAGGATAATCTTTGTGACGACCCTCCTATGAGGCCGCCACTGTAACTTAAACTTTAACTTGTACTTACTGGGGTTTCTTAAAATTTGCGGAACATTTTTTTTTTTAATATAAGAAAGAATACTTTCATAATTTGTAACAATAATTTCAAATAAGTGAATCACTAAATTTCTTAAAGCTTTTCTTAATTTCAGTTAAGATAAAACGTTCTAAAAATATCTTTCAAACAGAGCAGCATTTGAACTCTTATTTCAAATGCTCTTTAAAAGCATTTCTAAAACTAGTCAATTCAATCGGGCCATTTAATTTTGACTTTAAAACGGATTTCATGAGAAATCTTAAATTCAAG